TATTTTTCCTGTTTCTATAACGTTATAATTCAATTTTAAAGTAAAATGAACCTATTCTGTCGCTTTTCTCGCTTCCACAAAAAAGGGAACGCGTTAAATCATCAAACCGGTGTAACAAATGCAAATGTTTCGAACGTAAAAAGTATCTGCCTCGTAACGCGTAACAAAAATCGAATGTCACCGATCATCATCGTTATTTCCGACGACAGTGAGCTCATCCTTATTTAAAGTGCCATCACTGTCTCGTATTTTTTCTCGATTTCATGAGCATTCGGTGTGAAAAATTGTCAGGAAATATACAGAATATTTAAAAGATATAAAAAGAAGAGAGATTCGGGACTTACAGGTTCTGCATCGACAGGGATCATGTTTGTCCAAATAATGACTGAGGGTGTCCCAGCCACCACCCACGCGAACCATAACGTGGCTGCGAAGGATCCGAACGAAGATCAGCACCTTCGTGTCGCCGATTCGGTACTTCCCCTCGGAGACACGAATCATGGGGAACTGCGTGGGGCACGTGCACCTCTCCACCAAGTCTCGAACCTGAAACGCAGAAATTTGAAATTTTACATGTTACTGTGAAAGAATTTTCTATGAAAATTGGATTTGTATTTTCTGAAAATTTACATTTCCTGTTAATTTAGATATAATAGAAAGTAGGATACTGAGAACAGGTTGTTCGCATCGAATGGGAATAATTAAGCGGCGGTATGGTTTTATGGGAAAAGCTGTGTTAACGTCAAGCCACTCTTATGGAATCTCGAGCGATCGTTTGCAAAAGACCTCGAAATACTCGGCTAATTAGACTGCGGACGTAATCAGACCCGCTGATATTTCACGTTTTCTTACAACATGTACTTCGACGTGGGACAGATTTAGATTCTAATCTGAACAGCGATGTCAAGATACACAAAAGCCTGTAAACTATCTCGATTCAAGTAAATATACGTGGCTCTTTCGACACTTCCTACTGAACACTCAATTTATCGTCCTTTCAAAACGAAGTAAACGAGGAATAAACATTTCAGTCGAATTTTAACTCATTTAATAAACAATTCACGCTACCAAATTTCGATAAATTCTCAGTAAAATTGCAGAAAACATAATTTGCAATTTTTCGAAGTTAGAAATTGAAAATGGCCAAAGATAAATCAGAAATCACGTTATTTGCAATTTTTCGAAGTTACAAATTGAAAATTGCCAAAGATAAATCAGAAATCACGTTATTTGCAATTTTTTCAAAGTTACAAATTGAAAATTGCCATAGATAAATCAGAAATCACGTTATTTGCAATTTTTCGAAGTTACAAATTGAAAATTGCCAAAGATAAATTAGAAATCACGTTATTTGCAATTCTTTCAAAGTTACAAATTGAAAATTGCCATAGATAAATCAGAAATCACGTTATTTGCAATTCTTTCAAAGTTACAAATTGAAAATTGCCAAAGATAAATCAGAAATCACGTTATTTGCAATTCTTTCAAAGTTACAAATTGAAAATTGCCAAAGATAAATCAGAAATCACGTTATTTTCAATTTTTTCAAAGTTACAAATTGAAAATTGCCAAAGATAAGTCAGAAATCACGTTATTTGCAATTTTTTCAAAGTTACAAATTGAAAATTGCCAAAGATAAATCAGAAATCACGTTATTTGCAATTCTTTCAAAGTTACAAATTGAAAATTGCCAAAGATAAGTCAGAAATCACGTTATTTGCAATTTTTTCAAAGTTACAAATTGAAAATTGTCAAATTTAAAATTAATTCATCAAAGACACTAAAAATTTTCTTCTGCAACCAAAATGGAGGACTCAGCAATCCTCTGTCTGCTACAAATCCAATTACAAACAATTTTTTCATCTTCTTTAAATTCTCATAATCGAAGATTTTCACAATCGAGTAACAAAACTTTTAATATCTTCATCCCTGTACATTTGAGAAGCGATTAGATCAATTAAATTCCAAAAGTTGCAATAATTCCTCATTCTAACACATTTCGAAATCGATTGCTTCTCCTTTAATAATTAATACGCAGGTCTGCTACTGAAAGGACGATAAAAATCCGGGCACTTTCCTTCCTTTGCATAAAAAATAAATCGAACAACAGTCTACCAACGAAACAGTTCGATAACACGAGCAAAAGTGACGCGGACGCGAGTTTCCGCCGCGCTTTAAACACTCGCCTTCGGATATCTTGCGTTTTTGCCTGATTTTCAACGCGACCAAAGTGAAAGCAGAAACTGCGCCCTATCTGTCCCGTTCGTCAAACGCTCGCGGCTTCTCGAGATCCCTCCGAAGGATTCCAGCTTTATCGTGCCGCTTGTTCATTTCGTTTCCTCGCCAATAACACGCGTACACTTCCTCCTACAATCTGGTTTTTTGCGATTTTTGTTTTTTTTTTTATTTCTTCTGCGGGGAGAAACAAGGTTTCAGTTTGAGGAAATAATGTTTGAGAACATGTTCGTCCCATGTTTCGATATCATAGTTTTCCTTTCTAAATTATATTTGATTTGAAAAGGTGGTTAAGGTTAATGGAGTTTAGAATTAATTGCCGGGTTACAAGGTAAGATAATTCCACGAGATAAAGTGAATTTTTTTAGAAATCCATTTAACAATCTCAGACATTTATTCCCAACTAAACCCGACCTTTGTCTTAAATAAATGTCTTCGACTCTTTCTCCAATCTAACTTATATAAGTTAATCTAACCTAATCTAATTTATTCTGTGTGCTCTTTTCTCCGTGGTACGTAATAAACACTTAATTAAATTATCTTTTCTTTCCTTAAAAATCAAGACTCGTATGCAAAATCTTTGTTCTGCACTTTGGACTATTTTTTCACGGGGAATCACACCTTTCCCTTTACCACGATTGCAGAGACACCCTGTATATTGCTCATACTTTTATTTATATCTCGTCATTTATTTATATTATTAAAAGGAACAATCTTTAACTTTCGAAATATCAATTATTATACTGTAAGAAGAGAATCAAGATCCTGAAAGAGTCTCTCAAAATATCTTACAGTCTCAAAAAGAAAAAGAAAGGATCTTAAAAAAAGAAGTTCGGAAAGGACTTAACCAATTACGCTCGACTAGTACACAGAACAAAATACTAAGAGCAAGCTCCGTTATCCATGTCTGAACTGGAGAGGGGAAAACGAACACACTTTCTTCTCGGGGCGTATTAAGTCGGACGTGTTATTGATTACGCTCTGTTATCGCCGCGGCGAATCGGTTCGGGATAAATATATATCATTTACGGTGCGAACACCCACAGGCGAGCATTTGACAGCGGAACGGTGAAAATTATTTATCGTTCGGATCGCCGTGTATGCACACGCTTCGCGCCATTCTTGAACGTGGTCGCGCGACCAAACACTCCCCCTTCCAACCCCACCTGTTCTGTCTGTCGATGACATTTTTCCCCCAACGAATGATTTACACAGGTTGCGTAAATGCTCAACGGAACGGTTTCCTGAAATTTCCAGCCGACAATTCCTCCCCCCTTCACTCTCGAGGAGATATTGGTGGAAGGATTGATCGATCGTTCGACACACCATTGAAATGGTAATTTTCTGTTCGTTACTTTTCGGATTTCTCGTCAACAGATTTAGAGTTTCGTTCTCTTAACGTTGGACGAGTAAATTCTAATCAATTCTGTTTCGTAAAGAAGTTTGTAAAAGAATAGCAGATGTTCTGCATAAGAAATGTTAGATACCAGGTTATAGAGAAGGGTGGCTGTTATTAGAGTGGGGGGAGCGACCTCGAGCAGTCGATGGATTCGAAACGTGCTATAGGAGGAAATGTAAGAAGTGCAAGAGTACGATGTCCACAAAAGTAATAACGAATGCTCTTTTACAAACATTTTGGAACAAATCTTACTGATTCCATTCTACTATATTATACAGTGTGTCCAAAAAACATGGTTGATAAATATGTAGTATCGGGGCCTCCATACCCAAATAGGAAACCTCGAAGGGACAATAGCGAGGGAGTGGTTGTCGTAGCGCGCAAAGCCGAAGGTCCCGGGTTCGATTCCCGTTGGGTCCCTCAATACATTTTTCCCTAGGTTCCTACAAATGGGGGCTCGTCCGGGATGGAGGCATTTAACGGCTGCATGAAAACATGTTCAGGGGTTTGCACGTCTCCCAAAAATGCGTTGTTTCGGCTGCGTGCCACTGTGTGGGGGAGTGTGCCTGAAAGTGTTGCACTGAGGACATTCGAGGGCGAATGTCAGTTCAGGATGGCCGAGTGTAGTATCGGGGCCTCCATACCCAAATAGGAAACCTCGAAGGGACAATAGAGAGGGAGTGGTTGGTGTAGTGCGCAAAGCCTCGGCTTGCTAAGGCAAAAGTCCCGGGTTCGATTCCCATTTGGGTCCCTCAGTATTTTTCCGTCATAGATTCCTACAAATGAGGGCTCATCCGGGATGGAGGCATCTACGGCTGCACGAAGTCCCCAGGCGCTGTGAGATGAAAACATCTCGAGGGTTGCACGTCTCCCAAAACTGCGTTGTTTCGGCTGTGTGCCACTGTGTGGGGGAGTGTGCCCGAAAGTGTTGCACTGAGGACATTCGAGGGCGAATGTCAGTTCAGGATGGCCGAGTGTAGTATCGGGGCCTCCATGTCCAAATAGGAAACCTCGAAGGGACAATAGAGAGGGAGTGGTTGGCGTAGCGTGCAAAGCCTAGGCTTGCTAAGCCGAAGGTCCCGGGTTCGATTCCCGTTGGGTCCCTCAATATATTTTTCCCTAGGTTCCTACAAATATGGTTCGAAAATGGTCAAAAACTTACGTAGAATGTTTTTCTTTCCTAAATTCGTCAGAAGAAACCTTATCGATACCATCCTAACTCACAAGGTGTGCAAAAAGTATAGCTAAATATCCTCCAAAAAGTAAGAACCACTAATTAACAAAATTTACCTAAATATGATTAGAACAGGGAAAATCATTATTTAAGGGAACATATGTGAAAGTAACGAGTGATAATCCAAAGGAAAGGAAAGGACGGACGATAAATCATCGACGCGGACGGTCGATTGGAATTCTAGAAGCGTGCACGCTTGTTCCTGTTGACGTGGTCGGTTTGCGTCACGTCGTTTCTCGTTCCAAATATTCCATTTCACGTGAACACTGTACCAGCTATAACGAACGACGCCGGGAACCTTTCAGACACAGGATGTGTCTGTCCCATAGTAATTATCGAATTATGCAAATCCACGGAAAGGTATCGGTGATTCGAGCGTTACTGACGTTAATAAAGATCGTTTCTATCGTGAATTACGACATCGATAGACACTGATCTTGATATACACTCGTGTATAACTTCGTGTTCGATCGACGAAAATTTCAGACCGTTCAGTTATACCGAAGCGAATTTTGGGTCGATCGGATCGTCGACGTCAATTTCAATAACGTCAATCGACCTTTTCCACTCCGCTTTTGCAACACACCGATTGTCTACGTCTCGCTAACTTTCTAGGCTACGTGTTTCCTGCTCAGAAATATTCGTTGCAACTGGTTATGTACGAAGGAGGAACGCTAC